TCCTCCTCCTCTTCCTCCTCCTCCCCCTCATACTCTTCGCCTTTCACGCCGCGTGGGGGGCAGGAGGCCCATGGCCACCCCCTCGCGCCCAAAAGGAGAATCCCCGGGGCCCGGTGGAACTAAAACCTTTAACCTTCTAACACATACTCCTCCTCCTCGGAAAACTGCTGTTTGCGCGTTTTTCTCTCTCCCTCGACAGAAGCAGACAGCTAACGGACAAGATATTGAACGTGTGTTTTCCGAGTGCACGCTCAGGCGGTGACCGGGTGCGTTGCTGAGAATGGCTCACGTTGCGCTCTGCTACAACGTGGCCCCTTGGTTTGAGCGCGCGGCAGAAGATCGCCATTGCGCGATATCGCACAAAGACTGGGTTTGAATACGCGCGAACACCACAAATCGCCAGAATACATCCCGCCAGTATTGCCGGGGGATCGCAACTCTAGGAAGAGGTGTGCCTACATGCGTCGCGCCGTGCCCAAAAGAAACAGCAATAGGAAGGGGGCGAATAAAAATCAAGATGACAAGCGGGAGCACGTGGCAATGGAAGAGGCCCGGCAGCCTGCCCCGAGACATCCGACGATGTGATTTGCTGAAATCCAATTGCTTTCCTTCGGTTTCGCCCCCAGGGCTCCGCTTTCGGGCCCCAGGGCCGGGGCGAATGGATCCAGAAGAACGAATTACCCCGAAAGAAAACGCCCACACCCCTGGGACCGCGGGTGAGACCTCTGGAGGGCGCTTTCGGTTTCCAGGGCGGAGAAAAAACATTTCGGGCCACTGGGGCGGGAGATGAAAAAATCACATCGGCGGATGTCTGGGTGTCCATCCAGACTCGTACGCGGGCATCCTGGGGCACTCACGCAGCCGCCGGCCCCGCGGGCGCCGCGGGCTCGGGCGGCTCCAGCCCCGACGGCCCGGAAGGGACCTGCGGCGCCCCAGGCGCCACGCCGCCGACGCCCCCGAGCGACCCGAAGATCTTGTCCGCAAGGCCCTCCTCGTCTACCAGCTCCGCCTCCTCCCCCGCCGGCTCCTCCAGCTTCGCGAGCTTCGCTGGCGGCTCCTCGGCCGCGTCGCCCGGCCGCTTGGCCCCCCCGACGATCGGCGGGTGCTGGCTGGGAACCTTCGTCAGGTTTACCAGGGGGAAGTCCCGTGACGTGTTCTCCTTTGGCCCCTCCAGCAGCTTGACGGTGGCGGTCTTATGGGGGGCGTGTTCGGGCTTCAACTGGCGGAGCGAAGGACGATGGCTCCCAGATCCAAGGCCCAAGGCCCAGGGCCCTGGACCCTCGATCCTAGGCCTACGGAGAAGGAAGGAGGCGAGGAAGAGGAGGGCGTGGAGGGGGCGAGGAAGGGCCAGGAGGAGGAGGAGGGGTCAAGCAAAATAACAGCGTCGAGCAACAAAACGGGGTCTAGCAAACAAACGGGGTCAAGCAAACAAACGGGGTCGAACAAAAAACGGGGTGAAGTTTTTTTGTTTTTTCATGTTATATATATAAGGTGCTAATCAAAAGAAATGTCAAGCTAAAAACTGGGTCCAACAAACAAACAGGGTCAAGGAACAAACGGGGTTGAGGACAAACGGTGTCGAGCAAACAAACGGGGTCAAGCAAACAAGCGAGGTCAACCAAAAAACGGGGTCAAACATAACAACTGGGTCGAACAAACAAAAAGGGTCACGCAGATAACGACGTCCAGCAAAAAACGGCGCCAAGCAAACAAACGGAATCAAGCAAACAAACTGGGCCAAATAAAAAACTGAATCAACCAAAAAAATGGGGGACAAAAGCAAGGCCAAGCAAAAAAACAGGGTCGAGCAAACAAACGGGGTCAAGCGAACAAATGGGTCAAGGAAAAAAACGGCGCCAAGCAAACGAACGGGGTCAATCAACAAACACGGGACCAGGAGGAGGACGGGGGCTAGGGAGAGGAGGAGGAGGGGGGGGGGGGGCGAGTAGGGGCGAGGATGAGGAGGAGGAGGACCAGCAGGAGAAGGGAAGAATACCTTCGCGATCTCGCCAAGCTTCTTGTCCCACCACTCCTTCCTGATCCCGAAAGTCGTCTTGACCCTGCAGCCGACCCACCACGCGTTGTCGGCCTTCTCAGCCGGGGCGGCCTCGGCTGCCGCAGCACCGGCGGCCGCGGTGGTCGCAGCCGGGGCGGCCGCGGCCAGGGCGGCCTCGGTCCCCGCCGTGGTCTGCGGGGGCGACGCCGCGGCCTTCGCGGCCGCCGCGCCTTTCGCCTTGGCGGCCGCCAAGGCTTTCGCCTTGGCATCCGCCTCTAGAGGCGTCCTAGATGGGGTCGGAGTAGACGGGGTCGGATGATCGCGCCACATCTCCGATACATCGGCGATGCATCGGGGATGCATCGGCGATGCATCAGCGACGCACTGGCGATGCATCGTCGACGTGACAAGTATCCAGAAACAATTTTACTCTATCAGGAATGTGAAGGGGGGAGGCCGGCCCGCCGACGACCAACGACACGCGACGGCCGAGGGCAGGCGCGCTCCTTTTCTTTCCTGCAAGCAAGCAAAAGTTTGCTTGAGTAAACAAACAGCTGCAGTATGCAGCATTAGTTCAAGTCAGACAGTGCGCAGCATGCAATATGGGTTATAATGTATATTATTATGAAGCGGAGAGGAGCATATTTACTGAGATCGCCCCAAGACGGCCCAAGAGGCCTCTAAGGGGGCCCCATATCGGCCCAAGAGGGCTCCAAGCCGGCCGTCCTAGACGGCCCACGAGAGCCCCAGGACGGCCCCAAGAGGGGACCCACAGGAGAAACCTTCACGGAAACTCTGAGCTCTCGACCCAAAGAGGCGCCCAGGAGGCCCTAAGAGGTTCCCAGGAGGCCCCAAAGTGGCCCCAAGAGAGCCACAAGGCCCCCCAGATGCCCCCAAGAGGCTCCCAAGAGGCTTCAAGACAGCTCCCCAGGAGATATCGAGATTTCGTGTCCCCGCACAGCCCCGCCCCCGATATCGAGACATTGAAATAGAATTGCTTAACCTCTCATCCCCCAAAACAGCCCCCTCGACACTAGCGCAACGCCCGTCGACGCATACTCAACACCTCCACCAAAATCATCCTGGCGAAGGACCCAACCATATGTACACGTGAGTGCCGCGTTGTGGGTACCGCTCTCAGTGGAGCTCCCCATGGGGCCACGACCCTCGTGGGGGATGTGCCGAAATGGGCGGGGGGACGCATGCGGACCCTGCCGCTGGGGCCTTCGGTGGAGCTCCCCATGGGGCCACGATTCTCTTGAGGGGTGTGCCGAAATAGGCAGGGGGACGCCTGCCGCTGACGCCTTCTGTGCCGAAATGGGCGGGGGGACGCATGCGGACCCTGCCGCTGGGGCCTTCGGTGGAGCTCCCCATGGGGCCACACTCCTTGTGAAGGGTGTGCCGAAATGGGCGGGGGCACGCATGCGGACCCTGCCACTGGGGCCTTCGGTGGAGCTCCCTATGTGGCCACGAATTAACCGCGCGAGGGGTGTGCCGAAATGATGGACATGCGGAGAGAAGAGGCAAGGAGAGGGAGGAGGGGGGAGGGGGCATCGGGAGGAGGAAGAGTGACGCGGGGCGCTGCCTCTTCAAAACGAGGACCCAACACCACAGGATGGTTGGAAAAAACAGCCGCCACACGGCAACGCAACAATGACAACGAATACGCAGACAACCCCCCGCGGGGAGACAGTTGAGGCCAGAACCCCCACGACAAGCACCGAAGCAACTGTTTCGTCTCCATGCGCGCTGTCACAACGCCTCTGAAAAACGAACACAGCTCAACAACGCCGCGCGCCCCACGAACACGCAAGCACACGCCACCGATGGCACAATACGCGCCGGTGGAATGAGCGAAGCGATTAAACAAAGAACTCGCCCATCGAAATCTCGTGCCGATGCTTCTTTGCGGGCTTCTACCACTGACCCGGGCCAATGCAACTAGTCAAGGTTTGCAAGACCCTGCGCGATCCTGAAGGATCCTGCGCGCAAACTTATGTCAATGTAACCCTGGGTTTGCTGGATCCTGCAAGATCCGACGCTCTCGCTGACCCCCGTTTGCATTGACCCGCGTCTCAAGGCTCCTCATCCTTTCCCTCCGGGACACCTCTTGGAAGGCACCCAAATGTCAGCACTGCTAGTATCGAGCAGACACATCAGCTTTTGCGACGGGGTTCCGAGGCTGATCTCGACTACGGGCACGCCATCAACGGTCACATGCGCTGGCACAGTCACGCCACGGACAGCAGCTGCGGCGCGGAGGGCCACGACGACGGCCAAAACACAGCGAGCGGCCATGTCCCCCGACGCTCGAAGCGGGAATCAGCGGGGTTTGGGCAGGGCCGCCGCAGGCCCGAAATCGTGCTGCCTGGGCCAAATTGCTGCGCAGGTGGGGCAGAGAAGCGCGCACCGAGAAGTGGGGGGGAGGGGAGTTGCAAGAAGCTCGCAGGAGGTGGAGGACGGGCAGCGATTAATTGGGGGAATGCGTGCTTCGAAATGCCCTCAATATGCTTGCCTCGCGAAACCGTTGCCTTCATCGGTGCACGCGCCCTTGCGAACTAGCTGAGCAGGCTCTGGAGCCGCCGTAGGCACATTTTCATCCCTCTGCTTGTGAATCAGAACAGCTTCTCCAAAAGAAGCATCAACCACCTGCACCAACCCAGGAATCACAAACGAACACACACACACACAAATGGCCAAAATGCCACATGGCATGACATCTCGAAAAAGGACACGCGGAGTCCACTTCCCGCCTGACCTTGTTCACATCAAGTCGAATGTGATTGGCCAAATCCAAGAACATTGAAGCACCAGCCCAGGAGTGTGCGGAACCACTACTTGCCAGCACTTGATGTAGCCACGGCTCCAGACGCGCGCGCCCCATACTGAATACCCACGCGGGTCCCAGATGCATGCAAACAGCCACAGCTCGCGCCCTGCTCGAGTCAGAGGTCGATTGTGCTGCAATGTGTCACAGACTTCGCCTGCCTTCGAATGCCTTCCTCTACGTCCAGGACGCCGACATCATGAGACTGGACCTGCCGCAAGAACCTCCAGACCCAATCGATTTGCGAACGCTCCTGAGCGAGGCGTGCATGACGGGAATATGAACGTAAAGGAGCTCCGGTGTGAATGAACCCAGATCGGGTCCGGGAAGTCAAGAGTCATGAGGGAACGGCGAGTGAAGAGGACAAGCATAAGATACACGTCACAAGAACACACGTGTGTATTTTTATCTATATATATATATACTAGAACCATCGCGCGCGCTTCGCGCGCGCTCCGGTTCTACATAGCTTGGAGTCCAACGCTTGGCGACGAAGAGGCCCCAGCGGTCCCGAAGAGGGCCCCCAAAAACCTACAAGTTGTCCCCAAGAGCGCACGAAGAATGGCCCAAAAGGCATCCAAGAGACGATTTGTCTAAGCTCCTGCATGTGGACTTCCTGCTCGGCGGCGTCTTCAAATCCTCTTAATATATATATATATATACACATACATATATATATATATATACATATATCCTTCTCTCTCTCTTTCTCCTCCTCGTCCTGCTGCAAACCTCCCCCCCCGTTCCTCCTCCTCCTCCTCTCCTCCTTGCCGTCCTCCTCCCCCCCGCTCTCCTCCTCCTCCTCCTCCTCCTCCTCCTCCTCCTCCTCCTTGCTCCTCTTCCTCCTCCTCCTCCTCCTCCTCCTCCCTCCTCCTCACTCCTCCTCCCTCCTCCTCCCTCCTCCTCCTCCTCCTCCTCCTCCTCCTCTCCTCCTCCTCCTCCTCCTTCTCCTCCCAAGAGGGCCCAGGACCGACGCAAAAGAGCCTCAAGCTGGCCCGAAAGGGCTTCCGGAGGGGACCATGACGGCCTAAGAGGACACCTGGACGTCCCAAGGCGGCCCCAGGACGGCCCCCCAAAGACCCCGGAACCTTTGGGGCTGTCTTGGAAGCCTCTTGGGCTGTTTTGGGCGGTGGTGGGCCATCTTAGAAGCCTCTTCGAGCTGTCTTGGTGGCGTCTTGGGCTGTCTTGGAATCTCTTGGGGGCCTCTGGGACCAGCTTGGGGGCTTCACGGGGTATCCTGCAGCTTCCTGGGGTGCTCTCCGGCCGGGGAGCGGAAACATCCGTTCCGAATCTTCGTCTGGGACCCCCCGTGGAAGGGCCGTCTTGGGGACATCTGGGGCTGTCGTGGACGCTGGGAAAGCGAATCAGGCGGATATGCGAAAATGTACGATTTCCGAGCTCCCTCGGGATCGCCAGGGGTGCTTCGGGGCGTCCGGGCTCTTGGGGGCGTTTTGGAGCTTCCTGGGAGCGTCTCGGGGGCCTCTTCGGCGCTTCTTGGGCGCCCCTTGGGTGCTTCTTGGAGCCTCCTGGGGACCTCTAGGGACGGAGAGCTTCAGATTTCCGTTCCAATACTCCCTCTGGCCCCCTTTTTTTCTGGATACCGTCGCACACTCCGCAGCAGACAAAGGAAGAGCGGCTGGCAAAAGCCGTCTCGGGACCATCGTGGGCGTCTTGGATCGGCCTTTGGGTGTTTCGGTTCCTTCTTGGAGCGTCTTCGGGGTCTCGTGACGCTTTCTTGTGGCGTTTTTCGCGCCTCTTGGGCCGTTTTGGGGGCGCGTCTTGAAGTTTTTTGGGCCGTCTCGGGGCCATCGTGGGCGTCTTGGAGCGGCCTTTGGGCGTGCCGGGTCCCTCTTGGAGCGTCTTCGGGTTCTCTTGGCGCTTTCTTGTGGCGTTTTGCAGGCCTGAGGGCCCACCAAAAGGCCTGCACACCCACATTTGCGGTCCAGGGGCCGGCCCTGGGCCCACGGACCCGTGCGCCGTGTTATATATATATATATATATATATATATATATATATTACATACATACATACATACATACATACATACATACATACATACATATATATATATATATATATATATATATATATATTCGCATATTTTCACCAAGCCTGGGCGGGGGGAACCCCTCCCCAACAAAAAAAAGGATTCCGTGGATCTGGGGTTTGGGGACCCTCTGGACGGGCCTCGAAGCGGCCCCCTGGGCCTCGCAGGGCGTTTTGCCAAGCCTTCCCAGCACACCTAGGGCGATCAGGGGGGTCATCGGAGACGTCCCAGAGACCCCCAAGACAGCACAACAGCGTTCCAAGAGTGACCGACGTGACCTCAAGATGGCCCAAGAGGCCTCCAGGACGGCCCCAAAGAGGCCTCCAAGAGCACTCCAAAGAAGGCCCCGTGAGGCAAAATCATTGATGTTCTATTGGTTGTTGATGATTTTCTGTCCATGGAATTGAAGCCCCAGGGTCAAACTTGAGAGCTCCTAGCCGACGGTGGCGATTCGACCTTCGCGCCACTAACCTGCAAGCCGAGACCATGAACTGGGTCGCGCAAGGGCATATGTAATGCGGGTTTGCTGGGGTGGCCAACAATGGAGGGAGCGCCCCGCCCCCATACCCCCCCACCACCCCACCCTCCCCCACCACGGAGACGCCGCTACCACGGAGACGGTGGCGAGTCGACCTCCGCGCCTCTCACCGGCAAGCAATGACCGTGAACTGGACCGCGCAAGGGCCTATTTTCCATAGGTGCTCAAAAGGATCATAGTGATCGCACCTATCTGCGTGGCGGTAGCCCCCTTGCACTCTCTAATGGCGGGCGTTCCTGGTGGCTCGAAAGGTGATCACAGTATCAGCGATTGGAGCACACTGTTCGGGACCCCTATACCACAGGTGCCCAGAAGGATCAGAGTGATCGCACCTATCAGCGTGGCGGTAGTCCCCTTACCCTCTTTGATGGCGGGCGTTCCCGGTGGCTTAAAAAGTTTATCGAAAAATCAGCGAATGGAGCACACCGTTCGGGACCCCTATACCACATATGCTCAAAAAGATCATTGTGATCGCACCTTGCAGAGATGATGATCTCGCCCGATGGCTTCTTCTCGAGCCATATGAGCTTTGGCGGGAACGCCCCGCTCCTCACAGTCCAGCCCTGCACGGGCCTTGCACAGAGGGCCTCTTCGGGCCCAATTCTAGCTCTAGGGCCTCCACGGGCCCGCCGCTCGCGCCAGGGCCTCTTCGGGCCCTGGCCTACGCTCTGGGCGCCTCGGGAGGGGCCGTACGCTCACTGACGCCTGCACGCCCCCACGGCGCCTCGTCGAGGCACATCACCTCGTTCACCTTGCCATAGGCCGCAAGCTCATACTCACCCGTGGCTCGCCTCGGGCAGCACCATGAACCTCGGCGTCCCGTACTTCCACTTGCATGTGCACGGCGATTGACTCGCCTTCTCCGCTGTCATCGGCTTGTCCGTGAACCTTACCTTGTTGATCAGCTCCTTGCTCCGAATCGGGGTTTCCGCATGCTTGACCAGCTTTGGCTTCATGGAGCTCCTCATCGTCGTCCACTTCTCGCAGCTCCAGCACCCAAGCAGTGCACCTGTCACGAAGGTAACCATCAGCACGCTCAGGATGATCAGTGTCATGTGGTCATCGATCCAGTCCTGCAGCTTTGTCGCCTCCCAGGGGGCAACTGCGCTCTGGTCGAGCTCTCGCACTGCACATTCGCTTGATGTCGTCGCACCACCGATCACTCCTTGCGCGAGTAGTGTCGCCCGCAACCCCTGCTTAGCCCAGGCGCTCGTTGTCACCGAGCATGCCTCCAGCTCCTTGTGCCTATCCATCTCGCTGCAGTCGATGATGCCAGCGAGCTCCCACAAGTACTCGAACCGCTCTGTGGTGTGAGCTTTGGTTCCCAGGTCGGCCACGTTCTTGGCTCCGCTCTCCTTCTTGACGTTCAGTCCGTGAACCTTCCGCTCCTGCTGGATCCACAGCGCCCGCGCGTCCAGGTGCCTCACCTTGCCGACGCCCTCGCGTCTGATCATCGCCTTCGCGGCGCTGCTGTCGATCCCGAGCTCCCAGGTCACCTCGTAGCCCAAACACTCCAGCATGTTCTTCACCAACTTGCCGTCCATCACCACCGAGGTCGCGCCGTAGAACTCCGCCTCGCCTGAGGATGCACTCTGAACTCCTTGCCCCCTCGCAAACCCTGCGCAGTGCACCCCGCCCAGCTTTGTGATCCCACAGGTCATCGCACGCCTCGTCTCCTTGCACGTCGCAAAGTCCGTGCCCGTGAACAACTGCAGCTTCACCTCTCCAGGCTTGCTCCCAGTTGGCTTCTCCAAAAGCGCTCCGAACGTGTTTGCCCCCTTCAAGTACCTCACCATCTTCACCAAGCGCTTCCTGTTAAACTCCGTCGGCTGACTCAGGTTCCTGGTCAGTAGCTGCACGCCCCGCTGGATGTCCGCTCTGTCGGGCGAGATGTAGAGCGCGATCCCAACTCCTGTGCGAAACTTCGCCCTCTCGGTCTCGTCCAAGTCGGGGCTCCATGTCGGGTCCTCCTCAGTCAAGCTTGGCACCTTCGATGGCTTGGCCTTCTCCATGCCCATCACGTAGGTCAGGTCGTTGTTGTTTCACGTTCGGCCTCAGCATGATGTTGCCGTTCATGAGCCTCAGCCTGTCACGCTTCAAGTGTGAGTAGCGCCCCCGCCTGATGACGTCCGTCGCCTTCAGGTTGAACACCTCCCGCAGCCGCTTGATGACCCCGTCCAGGTTGCCGATTGGACCCTCTCCGTGGAAGTCGTCCATGCGCACCTCGATCAGGATCTCCTTCTCCCTGTGGTAGTAAAAGTGCGGCTGACACTCGCTCCTGTCGAAGCCCTCTCCCTTCAGAGTCTTCGCCGCCTTGTCTACCCAGCCAGCGCCTGCCACACGCTGCCCAGGTAGCATCTTGTCCAGCGCCCAAACAATGTCGGTCGGCTTGCCCATCTCCGCCAAGATCGCCAGATACTCAGCAGGTGGCTCCACGCAAACCTTCTCCGTCTGGTCCGCTTGGTAGTACGCCTTCACGCAGTCTGCGATGAAGGTCCCGTGATTCTCCTCCTTGATGCTGACGAAGTCCACCAGCCTGCTCGTCTGTGCTGACGAACTCGCTGCGAACACGTCGTCGCGCTGCTCCGTCCACTTGAACTCCTGCGCCACATACCGCCACTTGCAGACACCTCCTCGC